CACCTCCTACACCACCTACACCACCTACACCACCACCTACACCACCACCTACACCACCACACGTGGATCACGATCTGTTCGCGAGCGTGAGGAGTCCACCATCATAGTCCACCTTCATAGTCCACCACCACCTAGTCCACCATCACCTACACCACCTACACCACCTACACCACCTCCTACACCACCTCCTACACCACCTACACCACCACCTACACCACCTCCTACACCACCTACACCACCTACACCACCTCCTACACCACCTCCTACACCACCACCACTACACCACCACCTACACCACCACACGTGGATCACGAACTGTTCGCGAGCTGTGAGGAGTCCACCTTCACCTCATAGTCCACCACCATAGTCCACCATCACCTAGTCCACCATCACCTAGTCTACCACCTACACCACCTACACCACCACCTACACCACCACACGTGGATCACGAACTGTTCGCGAGCGTGAGGAGTCCACCTTCACCTCATAGTCCACCACCATAGTCCACCACCTACACCACCACCTACACCACCACCTACACCACCTTCACCACCACCTACACCACCTACACCACCTACACCACCACCTACACCACCACCTACACCACCACCTACACCACCTTCACCACCACCTACACCACCTACACCACCTACACCACCACCTACACCACGTAAACCACTACACGTTGATCACGAACTGTTCGCGAGCGTGAGGAGTCCACCTTCATAGTCCACCACCTAGTCCACCACCACCTACACCACCTACACCACCACCTACACCACCACCTACACCACCACCTACACCACCACACGTGGATCACGAACTGTTCGCGAGCGTGAGGAGTCCACCTTCATAGTCCACCATCACCTAGTCCACCACCTACACCACCACCACCTACACCACCTACACCACCTACACCACCACACGTGGATCACGAACTGTTCGCGAGCGTGAGGAGTCCACCATCATAGTCCACCTTCACCTAGTCCACCACCTAGTCCACCACCACCTACACCACCTACACCACCACCTACACCACCACACGTGGATCACGAACTGTTCGCGAGCGTGAGGAGTCCACCTTCACCTCATAGTCCACCACCATAGTCCACCACCTACACCACCACCTACACCACCTACACCACCTACACCACCACCTACACCACCTACACCACCTACACCACCACCTACACCACCTACACCACCTACACCACCACCACACGTTGATCACGAACTGTTCGCGAGCGTGAGGAGTCCACCTTTATAGTCCACCATCACCTAGTCCACCACCACCTAGTCCACCACCTAGTCCACCACCACCTACACCACCTACACCACCTACACCACCACACGTTGATCACGAACTGTTCGCGAGCGTGAGGAGTCCACCATCATAGTCCACCTTCACCTAGTCCACCACCTACACCACCACCTACACCACCACCTACAACACAACCTACACCACCACCACCTACACCACCACCTACACCACCACACGTTGATCAAGAACTGTTCGCGAGCGTGAGGAGTCCACCCTTATAGTCCACCTTCACCTAGTCCACCACCTAGTCCACCACCACCTACACCACCACCTACACCACCACCTACACCACCACCTACACCACCTACACCACCTACACCACCTACACCACCTACATCACCACCTACACCACCTACACCACCTACACCACCACCTACACCACCACCTACACCACCACACGTTGATCACGAACTGTTCGCGAGCGTGAGGAGTCCACCTTCACCTAGTCCACCACCCTTATAGTCCACCACCTACACCACCACCTACACCCTCATAGTACACCACCACCACACGTGGATCACGAACTGTTCGCGAGCATGAGGAGTCCACCTTCATAGTCCACCATCACCTAGTCCACCACCTAGTCCACCACCACCTACACCACCACACGTGGATCACAAACTGTTCGCGAGCGTGAGGAGTCCACCTTCACCTTCATAGTCCACCACTTCATAGTCCACCACCTCATAGTCCACCACCTACACCACCTACACCACCACCTACACCACCTACACCACCTACACCACCACCTACACCACCACACGTGGATCACGAACTGTTCGCGAGCGTGAGGAGTCAACCATCACCTCATAGTCCACCATCTCATGCGTCCACCACCACCACCTCCACCCTCCTAGTCAACCACCTCCACCACCTCCACCTCCACCACCACCTCCACCCTCTTAGTCCACCATCTCCACCACCTCCACCCTCCTAGTCCACCACCACCACCTCCACCCTCCTAGTCCACCACCTCCACCCTCTTAGTCTACCACCTCCACCACCTCCACCACCTCCACCCTCCTAGTCCACCATCTCCACCACCTCCACCCTCCTAGTCCACCACCACCTCCACCACCACCTCCACCCTCCTAATCAACCACCTCCACCTCCACCCTCCTAGTCCACCACCACCTCCTCCACCTTCACCCTCCTAGTCCACCACCTCCACCACCTCCACCACCACCTCCACCCTCCTAGTCCACCATCACCACCACCTCCACCCTCCTAGTCCACCACCATCACCACCACCTCCACCCTCCTAGTCCACCATCACCACCACCTCCACCCTCCTAGTCCACCATCACCACCTTCACCACCACCTCCACCACCTCCACCCTCCTAGTCCACCACCACCTCCTCCACCCTCCTAGTCCACCATGACCACCTTCACCACCATCACCACCATCATCACCACCACCACCACCACCATCACCACCACCACCACCATCACCACCACCATCACCACCATCACCACCACCACCATCACCACCATCACCACCTTCACCACCACCTCCACCACCTCCACCACCTCCACCCTCCTAGTCCACCACCACCTCCTCCACCCTCCTAGTCCACCATCTCCACCACCTTCACCACCATCACCACCATCATCACCACCACCACCACCATCACCACCACCACCACCATCACCACCACCATCACCACCATCACCACCACCACCATCACCACCATCACCACCATCACCATCACCACCATCACCACCATCACCACCACCATCACCACCACCACCACCATCACCAGCACCACCATCACCACCATCACCACCACCATCATCACCATCACCACCACCACCATCACCACCACCACCACCATCACCACCACCACCATCATCACCACCATCACCACTATCACCACCATCACCACCATCACCACCACCATCACCACCATCACCACCACCACCATCACCACCATCACCACCATCACCATCACCACCACCATCACCACCATCACCACCACCACCACCATCCCCACCATCACCACCACCATCACCACCATCACCACCACCACCACCACCATCACCACCACCATCACCACCACCACCATCACCACCATCACCACCACCACCACCATCACCACCACCACCATCATCACCACCATCACCACCACCACCACCATCACCACCACCATCACCACCATCACCACCACCACCATCACCACCATCACCACCACCATCACCACCACCACCACCCCCACCACCACCATCATCACCATCACCATCACCACCACCACCATCACCACCATCACCACCACCACCACCACCACCATCACCACCATCACCACCACCACCACCCCCACCACCACCATCATCACCATCACCATCACCACCACCACCATCACCACCATCACCACCACCACCACCACCATCACCACCATCACCATCACCACCACCACCACCACCCCCACCACCACCATCATCACCATCACCATCACCACCACCACCATCACCACCATCACCATCACCACCACCACCACCACCATCACCACCATCACCACCACCACCATCACCACCACCACCACCACCATCACCACCATCACCACCACCATCACCACCACCACCACCACCACCACCATCACCACCACCACCACCACCATCACCATCACCACCATCACCACCAGCATCACCACCATCACCAGCACCACCATCACCACCATCATCACCACCACCATCATCACCATCACCACCACCACCATCACCACCACCACCACCATCACCACCACCACCATCATCACCACCATCACCACTATCACCACCATCACCACCACCACCACCACCATCACCACCATCACCACCACCACCACCATCACCACCATCACCACCACCATCACCACCATCACCACCACCACCACCACCACCATCACCACCACCATCACCACCACCACCATCACCACCATCACCACCACCACCACCATCACCACCATCACCACCACCATCACCACCACCACCACCCCCACCACCACCATCATCACCATCACCACCACCACCATCACCACCATCACCACCACCACCACCACCACCATCACCACCATCACCACCACCACCACCCCCACCACCACCATCATCACCATCACCATCACCACCACCACCATCACCACCATCACCACCACCACCACCACCATCACCACCATCACCATCACCACCACCACCACCATCACCACCATCACCATCAACACCATCACCACCACCACCACCACCATCACCACCATCACCACCACCACCACCCCCACCACCACCATCATCACCACCACCATCACCACCATCATCACCATCACCATCACCACCACCACCATCACCACCATCACCATCACCACCACCACCACCACCATCACCACCATCACCACCACCACCATCACCACCACCACCACCATCACCACCATCACCACCACCATCACCACCACCACCACCACCACCATCACCACCACCACCACCACCATCACCATCACCACCATCACCACCAGCATCACCACCATCACCATCACCACCATCACCACCACCACCACCACCACCATCACCACCACCATCATCACCATCACCAACACCACCAACACCAACACCACCACCACCACCATCACCACCACCATCACCAACATCACCACCACCATCACCATCACCACCACCATCACCATGGTGACGCCGATGTTGTTGCTATGGTTACAGGCCCCGTGCCGCGCCGATTCGGCACCGCCCATCCCCGGTCGCCCCAGCAACGGCGGCGTTGCCGGGGGTCGCCATGGCAACGGGAGCGGAGTTTCCGGGGGTCGCCATGGCAACGTGGAGACGCTCCACCTCATCACCAGGGACCTCGTGAGGCTGCTGAGGTGGGTCACGTGGTCAGCCTCATCACCATCACCACCATCATCACCATCACCACCATCATCACCACCACCACCATCACCACCATCACCATCATCACCATCACCACCACCATCATCACCACCACCACCACCACCCCCACCACCCCCACCATCACCACCACCACCACCCCCAGATGAAACTCCTCCTCGCTGCAAAACATTTCGTGGTGCCGGCCATCTTCGCCCTTCCGTTATCCCGCTGAAGCCTCGCCGCTAGGCCGCTAGGCCGCTAGTCCGCTAGGCCGCTAGTCCGCTAGGCCGCTAGTCCGCTAGTCCGCTAGTCCGCTAGGCCGCTAGTCCGCTAGGCCGCTAGTCCGCTAGACCGCTAGGCCGCTAGTCCGCTAGTCCGCTAGGCCGCTAGTCCGCTAGGCCGCTAGTCCGCTAGTCCGCTAGTCCGCTAGGCCGCTAGTCCGCTAGTCCGCTAGTCCGCTAGACCGCTAGGCCGCTAGTCCGCTAGTCCGCTAGGCCGCTAGTCCGCTAGGCCGCTAGTCCGCTAGTCCGCTAGTCCGCTAGGCCGCTAGTCCGCTAGGCCGCTAGTCCGCTAGACCGCTAGGCCGCTAGTCCGCTAGTCCGCTAGGCCGCTAGTCCGCTAGGCCGCTAGTCCGCTAGGCCGCTAGTCCGCTAGGCCGCCAGTCCGCTAGGCCGCTAGTCCGCTAGACCGCTAGGCCGCTAGACCGCTAGTCCGCTAGGCCGCTAGGCCGCTAGGCCGCTAGGCCGCTAGGCCGCTAGTCCGCTAGTCCGCTAGGCCGCTAGGCCGCTAGGCCGCTAGGCCGCTAGGCCGCTAGTCCGCTAGTCCGCTAGTCCGCTAGGCCGCTAGTCCGCTAGACCGCTAGTCCGCTAGGCCGCTAGTCCGCTAGGCCGCTAGGCCGCTAGGCCGCTAGGCCGCTAGGCCGCTAGGCCGCTAGACCGCTAGTCCGCTAGGCCGCTAGTCCGCTAGGCCGCTAGTCCGCTAGACCGCTAGTCCGCTAGACCGCTAGTCCGCTAGGCCGCTAGGCCGCTAGGCCGCTAGGCCGCTAGGCCGCTAGGCCGCTAGTCCGCTAGTCCGCTAGTCCGCTAGTCCGCTAGGCCGCTAGTCCGCTAGGCCGCTAGTCCGCTAGACCGCTAGTCCGCTAGACCGCTAGTCCGCTAGGCCGCTAGTCCGCTAGGCCGCTAGGCCGCTAGGCCGCTAGGCCGCTAGTCCGCTAGTCCGCTAGGCCGCTAGTCCGCTAGGCCGCTAGGCCGCTAGGCCGCTAGGCCGCCAGGCCGCTAGGCCGCCAGGCCGCTAGGCCGCCAGACCGCTAGGCCACTAGGCCGCTAGGCCACCGGGCCGCTAGACCGCTAGACCGCTAGGCCGCCAGGCCGCTAGACCGCTAGACCGCTGGGCCGCTAGGCCGCTAGGCCGCTGGGCCGCTAGGCCGCTAGTCCGCTAGACCGCTAGACCGCTAGACCGCTAGGCCGCTAGTCCGCTAGACCGCCAGGCCGCTAGGCCGCTAGACCGCTAGTCCGCTAGTCCGCTAGTCCGCTAGTCCGCCAGGCCGCTAGGCCGCTAGACCGCTAGACCGCTAGGCCGCTAGTCCGCTAGACCGCCAGGCCGCTAGGCCGCTAGACCGCTAGTCCGCTAGTCCGCTAGTCCGCTAGTCCGCCAGGCCGCTAGGCCGCTAGACCGCTAGACCGCTAGGCCGCTAGTCCGCTAGACCGCCAGTCCGCTAGGCCGCTAGACCGCTAGACCGCTAGGCCGCTAGTCCGCTAGACCGCCAGGCCGCTAGGCCGCTAGACCGCTAGTCCGCTAGTCCGCTAGACCGCTAGGCCGCCAGGCCGCCGGGCCGCCAGGCCGCCGGGCCGCCGGGCGATTCATCGGCGGCTTTTGTTAGCCGGCGGAAGCCTCGCGAACCGCTCATTTTCCCACGCCCGCGGACTTCGAACGAACGAACCCGGCGAGTTCGGAACCTCCGTTCGAAGCCTAAGCCCCTTGGCTTGTTGGTGGTGGCGACGTAGAGAAAGAGAGGCAATGAAATTAATCCAGTAGCATGAACCAATGAGAAGCGGCCAAACGAACAACAGCGGCAGAGTCATCGCCGTCAGGTGTACAAGTCACAGCGGGAACAATTTGATGAAAGTGGCGTTCGTTTTTTTGTTTTTTTGTCTGTTTGTTTGTTTGTTTGTTGTTCCCCCCTTTCGCAACGTCGGCACGTCCGCGGAAGATGACGCTCGGCGTTGCGGCCCGTGATCATCTTGTCGCTTAACGTAATTTTTTTTTCCCATTATCTCATCGAGTTTCAACTCCTTCAAGCGACTTTGACGGAAAGAACCAACAATGTGGTGTTGTTGAGCGTTGATTCGGAGCTTCGGCGGCGGCAGGGATTTCACGTTTTGTTGGTTCCTCGGGTGGTAAAGTCACCGCCGCGAAGAGAGGGAGATGATTTTTTAAACGAACAAGCGTGTAAATATATGGAACGGTAAAATTCTCGCGGCGTTTCGACTGCTGCACGAGCGGAAACCGTCGTCAGGTGTGAAAACCACAGCAAGGGAAATAAAACACGGAGGCGATTTTTAACCGAGCGAGAAGATGGATTCTGGGCTTAGCAATCATTGGAAGGATTCGATCAACCATTTCGGGGTCTTAATTGATTGTTCACGCTTACGGCTACCGTGAGAGATTCGTTCACGAGGCTATCCACGTGTACAAAACACGGAGAGAATTTCAACCGAGAAGATGGATTCTGGGCTTAGCAATCATTGGAAGGATTCGATAAACCATTTCGGGGTCTTAATTGATTGTTCACGCTTACGGCTACCGTGAGAGATTCGTTCATGAGGCGATCCACATATACAAACACAGAGACAATTTCAACCGAGAAGATGGATTCTGGGCTTAGCAATCATTGGAAGGTTATTTCGGTAAAGTCACGAATAGAACCAAAGAGTATGGATCCTTGCAGTCACGAAAGCTTCAAATCTAGAACCTTAATTGATTGTTCACGCTTACGGATACCATGAGAGATTCGTTCATGAGGCTATCCACGTATAAAAACACGGAGACAATTTTAACCGAGAAGATGGATTCTGGGCTTAGCAATCATTGGAAAGATTTGATAAACCATTTCGCATCTTAATTGATTGTTCACGCTTACTGTGAGAGATTCGTTCATGAGGCTATCCACGTGTAGAAACACGGAGGCGATTTTAACCGAGCGAGATGGATTCTGGGCTTAGCAATCATTGGAAGGATTCGATCAACCATTTAGGGGTCTTAATTGATTGTTCACGCTTACGGCTACCGTGAGGGATTCGTTCATGAGGCGATCCACATATACAAACACAGAGACAATTTCAACCGAGAAGATGGATTCTGGGCTTAGCAATCATTGGAAGGATTCGATAAACCATTTCGGGGTCTTAATTGATTGTTCACGCTTACGGCTACCGTGAGAGATTCGTTCATGAGGCTATCCACGTGTACAAAACACGGAGACAATTTCAACCGAGAAGATGGATTCTGGGCTTAGCAATCATTGGAAGGATTCGATAAACCATTTCGGGTCTTAATTGATTGTTCACGCTTACCGTGAGAGATTCGTTCATGAGGTTATCCAAATGTACAAACACGGAGAGAATTTCAACTGAGAAGATGGATTCTGGGCTTAGCAATCATTGGAAGGATTCGATAAACCATTTCGGGGTCTTAATTGATTGTTCACGCTTACGGATACCGTGAGGGATTCGTTCATGAGGCGATCCACATATACAAACACAGAGACAATTTCAACCGAGAAGATGGATTCTGGGCTTAGCAATCATTGGAAGGATTCGATCAACCATTTCGGGGTCTTAATTGATTGTTCACGCTTACGGCTACCGTGAGAGATCCGTTCATGAGGCTATCCACGTGTACAAAACACGGAGACAATTTCAACCGAAAAGATGGATTCTGGGCTTAGCAACCATTGGAAGGTTCTTTCGGTAAAGTCACGAATAGAACCAAAGAGTATGGATCCTTGCAGTCACGAAAGCTTCAAATCTAGAACCTTAATTGATTGTTCACGCTTACGGATACCGTGAGAGATTCGTTCACGAGGCTATCCACGTGTACAAAACACGGAGAGAATTTCAACCGAGAAGATGGATTCTGGGCTTAGCAATCATTGGAAGGATTTGATAAACCATTTCGGGTCTCAACTGATTGTTCACCCTTACGGCTACTGTGAGAGATTCGTTCATGAGGCTATCTACATATACAAAACACGGAGGCAACTTCCACCGAGAAGATGGATTCTGGGCTTAGCAATCATTGGAAGGATTCGATAAACCATTTCGGGGTCTTAATTGATTGTTCACGCTTACGGCTACCGTGAGAGATTCGTTCATAAGGCTATCCACGTGTAGAAACACGGAGACAATTTCAACCAAGAAGATGGATTCTGGGCTTAGCAATCATTGGAAGGATTCGATAAACCATTTCGGGTCTTAATTGATTGTTCACGCTTACCGTGAGAGATTCGTTCACGAGGCTATCCAAATGTACAAACACAGAGACACAATTTCAACCGAGAAGATGGATTCTGGGCTTAGCAATCATTGGAAGGATTCGATAAACCATTTTGGGTCTTAATTGATTGTTCACGCTTACCGTGAGAGATTCGTTCACGAGACTATCCACGTATACAAACACGGAGACAATTTCAACCGAGAAGATGGATTCTGGGCTTAGCAATCATTGGAAGGATTCGATAAACCATTTCGGGTCTTAATTGATTGTTTTCGCTTACGGTGGCTTTCAGACCACATCCATTAATTTTTCGTCTCCCCCCACTCCTCTTTTCCAAACATAGATGGACTCGTTTTTTTATTTAAAGCTTTCGTGACTGCAGTGATTAATATTCTTGGTTCTTTCGGTGAAGTCACCACGTTGAAGGGAAACAATAAAATAATAAGATACACATAAAACAATACAATTCTGACTGCTATGTGTTGCAGTCGAAACGTCG